TGGCACGCCACTGCTCGGTCTTCAGCTCTTGTCATCCAACCGCTGCCAGCCACCTTGCGGATGCCGTCACTCCACCTAGCTGGAGGGCACCCTACACTACGTTTGCCTAGACGCAGTGTCCATTCTAGAACACGTTTACAAAGATACAAGTTCGCATACATTTGACACCCATCCCAGAGTTGTTCCGTGCGGGAACCGAACCTGCGATACGTTGCGTGCCAGCCAGTTGCCCAGCCACTGCGCCAACCGTGCAGTCAATTCTCATTGCCGTTTCTAATGCAGAGTTATGCCCTAACAAATATTATAAATTTATTTGTCATGCGCCTAATAATTTTAGTTTCAACTACCTCGTTATAATTTGCCGATGTTTCACATGGGCAAATACAATAGTATCAAAAATAAACTATCAATAAGAAACCAATCAAACCGAAGCTTCTTCATTTCAATCCCTTTGTTACTCCAAAACGAACGAACCACCATCTATTTCGATCCACTAAAATTCCTGCAAAGAATAAAACACTCGATCAGCGCGACATTTCGAGACAATGGCAACACGATAACTCACTATACCAAGTTTTGTGATAAAAGAGCAAATTTATATCACCACAAGCCATTTGAATTACAACCTTGTTACTCTATGATAAGGTGCAGAGTAGCCGTAAAATCTAAATGGCGAGGATTATTCCCCCGTCACGCGATCACCTGATTGGTGGGACAAAAATAACATTATTAGACATGGAACCACGGTTGAAATTACGATCACGATGTGTTCAATCATATTACTATTACGGTAATAAATTTTAGGGTGTGCGTGAGCGTTTGTAGGTCATTCCGCTAGGTTATACCGCATGATTGGTCCGTAGCACTTCTCTAAAAGGTATCCCTCCCAGATTAAGGTTATTGGAAAATATTACCTGTGCTTAGTACGTTAAGGTACGTTTTATGTTCACATAGTAATAGAGTTGATATTAATTAAGTCATAATTGTATTAAACTGCTGTATCTATTTCGACCGCGATGTATTATTAGATTTTCAACAACTAAATCTTCATTTAAGTACCTAAATGAAACCTAATATACCTCGTACATATAATATGCTAAATGGACTACCCTTTATATAGGTATAGACATATACAACTTTAAGCTAATCACACATTACTACATAGTATAAAACAAAGTCGCTAACCCGGCGTCTGTCTGTTGTCTATCTTTAAAACTACGCAACGGATTTTGATGCGGTTTTTTTTAATAGATAGAGTGATTCTTAAAGAAGGTTTATATGTATAATACATGCATATTGCACGGTCGCTAGTAATATTATAATGTGAAAGCTTCTTTGTTTAGAAACTTGTCCGTCCGTATAACCAAAAATATAATTAGTACTTCAGAAAACATCGATGTAACAACAGCCATACACAGAAATCACTTCATCGGAAATAACCAACCGAAAAATGCCTCCTCAAATACTAGTTTCAGTACGATTACAAAATATTTATCTTAGTACACATGTCTTTGGTAAGTACTCGTATAATTTGAGCGTTAATTACACACATAACGAGTGAGTAAACATGTGGGTCGAAATATTCAAAACTTTGTGTACGTTCTATTATGCCTTCGTATTAATAACTACTTTTAGTCTCGGATACAAAATATCGAATATGCTTCTTTTTAATCATTGCCTTAGTGTCGCGGAGAACTTATCGGGTAACCGGGGCTCCGGCTCGACGTGCAGGAGAAGGAACGGTGTGGTTTTTAGTCAGTAAGAGTCTGACACTCCCTCCCGCCTCACCCAGGCGGGAGCAGTCATTCGATGATTTTCCACCCTTAAAAAAAAAGAGTGACTGTATGCATTTTATCTATGTCACATTAACCTCGTAGTTCACAGGTTCCATTTTAATTAGTAGCATTGACACTAATAGTATAAATCTCCTTTAACATGGACGTTTTCCATATTGACATCGACATGGCCGATGGATCTGGTTCCATGGAATCTGCCGAACTAATAAATAAGCTTACTGACGGCGGTGATGGTTATACGCTTTTTTTTTATTGGGGTAAATCGTTGAATTACTCCTCCTGCCTTGAGTGAAGTGAAAGGGAGGGAGGAGGGAGGTCAGACTCTTACTGACTAAAAACAACCCCGTTCCTATTCCTGTACTTTGAATTGGAGGCCTGGTAACCTGTTACGTTCTCCGTGGTTCCGTATCGGCATCAGCCCTATTAGGCCATTCTGTGTAGGGTTCTGGACCTTATACAAACAAGCTAATTTCATTGACGAAGTAATAGACGGGTAATTCAATTTAATTCTATCTAAGTATGTAAGAAGTACGTCGATCGATATCACCTTGTTACTATCCCACTGGTCGGCAAAGAATTCTTCTCGTGCAAAGAAAGAAAATACCAGTATTTTTCCTAAATAATGACGAAGGAGAAATAAACAAAATACACCTAGAAGTATAAATAAAAGAAACGGAGTCTTGCGGAAAGTAAATCTGCAGTTCGATTTCCGCCCTCTGTTCCGTTATGAAACAACTCGATGTTTTGTTGTTGCTATGGTTACGGGCATAGAGTAATTTATATTGGAGATAGAGATTCGGTTTTCTTTGTGTTTCTTTTCTGCTTTTTTTTTAAACTTACTTTTACTGTCTTTTATTCTTAAGTAGTATTTTATGATATGTTGAGTAATCATTACATTAAACCACTTCATCTTCAGCGAACACCAGTTTTTTTACTATGAACTAACAACCAAAAACAAGTTCAATACTAACAATAACATAATCTTATGTCATATCTACTATTTGGTGTACATTCTGTAAAACTTTATTTAATTTATCTCCAATATCCAAAAGATTATTATTTTTGGGCTTACTCAGGTAACTTTTTGACGAAGAACTCGACTAGTTTCAAGCCATACTAAAGGCTCATATTCATGAGCTGCATTCCGCAATCCGCGACGCGGTGACTATCGCGCTGCTACTGGTCAAACAGTTACGTGAGGAAGCTGAAAACTAAATAACTAATTTTATATGTCTCGCAAAAGTTTTAATATAAACATAAACATAACATCACGCCTCTTATCCCGGAAGGAGTAGGCAGAGGTGTACATTATGCCACTGTACAATGTAACACCCACTTTTCACTATTTATGTTATGAGTCTCATGTAATAGGGGGTGAGCCTATTGCCATATACCGGGGACAATTCCAGGCTCCGTGCTGTATACTACTGAGAATTTTTAAAAACCCAGTAATACTTTGCCCGACCCGGGAATCCAACCCGAGACTCCTTGCCCGGCAGTCGCACTTGCGACCACTCGGCCAACGAGGCAGTTTAATATAAACTTATAAAATATTTTCATTGCAATCAAATCTAAGAGCATCTATCTTTTATAGCTCTGTTCAACTACTGTAATAGTTTGTTAAATTCTTCATCGTCCTTCCATTATTCATTTGGCCTAATGCCAGAACTCGGTAGAATGCGCCTTGCCTAGTCTTGTGCTACTTTGATAAGATACTTTACTAATTTAATACAAGTTCATTACTTTCATCTAATTTGAAATTAATATCAGAAAGCTTGAGTATATTCTATGTTATCTAGTTGAGAAGATTAAAATTGTGTTTTTCTTGTATAATCATTGGTTATTTCACTCTTTATACCAGTTTCATTTTGCAATAAACCGAATTTACCGACTTATTTCATATTTATTTTAGTTGCATGAAAACTCTTTCACTCTGTTTCGTTTAGTAGATCTATGACTTAAAAAACAAAACGTACGTACGTAAAAATTATGCTCATTTAATATCACATTTATTACCTAAGTCAAAAAGTAAAAAAAAACTAAAAACAAAAAGAACAAATAAAACAATTTCAAACAAAATCCATTCAGCAAAATTCGTATAAACGATATATTGCCGATTTAATCGAGTCAGCAATAGGAAAAATTGCAATACACAAGTACTTGGCAAAGTGCCCGGCAGCAGCCCCAGCCTACAAGCAAGATTGTAATCTTACAAGATAAGATGCGCGTGAAAACATCAATAATGAGACCATCAAGATTAAGCAACAATTTGCTGAAACTTGCAATTGCTGAGATAGCAATGATTAACAATAAAAGATGCAGTCTTTTATAGCTATTTCCTTGTTCTCAATTAGGTAGTGGATATGGAACGCTTTCTGGATATTATGGGTACTCAAAAAGTTCGTAAGTCTTTGACCAAGGTTTTAGTCAAGAATATTACATCAAATTGTTTTTAGAGAAGGCAATTGTTATCGCAAATACTAGCAATAGTATGTTCTAAAGCGACGTCTTCTTAGTTTCTCGTATATTCCGCAACTAGAATCACCTAATACAAAGCAGAATCAACTACTTCGTCTACCTAACCTTACACGACTGTGTATTGAAGGTCCTTCAAAGATGACTTAAAAGCTACCTTATCTTACATCAGTTGTAGCTTTATGATTTATGAAGGCCAATCCCTCGATACGGCACGTTTAGCCTCTTTCCATCCACGTCAATTTGTTTAAGGTCAGATAATTTTGCCATTAAATGTTAATGCGTAGCACCACTTATTAGTGTTAGGGGGTGACAGGAAATTATAGCTGTCCAATAAAATTTACGGGCTCGGCCTTGCACTGTGACCTTGGAAAAAATTGGCTTAACAAGAACAACTGAATAGGGCTTTGAACTTTGATGCTATTCTATAGTTCCTTGATAAAATTAGGTGACAAAAATGTATAAGTCTTGGTCAGCATTTTATCTGGAGTTTGATGTGCATCAAAGTTAGAAATGCAAATATGTACTACCATTTTGATTGAACTTCTACATAAAATAGTAGGTACGTACAGACACTCTAAAAACGAATACACCTATGATAACTGTTTAGTATAATAGTTTCTCCTCATCGTCTTCCACAGTTCCACACTTAAATTATTAATTTACTTCACTAGCTCTGTCAACATATTATTTAACTGAATCTAACTAACTACATATTCTCTTTCCCAGGTCATAATACAATGTGAACGAGCTGGTCCACCAATGGTCCCTCGTTTGATGCTACCATGGCAGTGCAGGCTCGGCCGACGGCTCGTCACTTCCACAACCAGCCGGAGCTGCAGAGGAGCAGGGCAGGGCTCATGCTGCGGTGGATACTGGTAGTGTGGGTTGCGAGCTGCGGACCTCTGGGGAATACGGTGAAGCAAGATGGTAAGTTTGGATTTCTCTAACATTCAATTTTAAATGGGCCTCAAGCCTTGTTTCGGATACCAACATTATGTCTTAAAATTGTGACCAGTCACCGTTGAATAGATACTTGCAGTAGCTAAAGTTTCGGTGGTTCAAACACCCCTACATAAGGAGGCATTTGTTCGGCAGTAGCCATATTTTATCCATCGACGATGTCGATGATGTGACGTATAAGTATGTCAACAGTTGTCCCAAAATTGGATACTTATTATACACCACTATAAGTTAAAGTCTAATTTCCTGTTTGTCACTTTTCGACGATAGTAAGGTCTTTAGGTCAGTTATCTGACGTTAAATAGTCAGATATATTAGTTTCACTAACAACAATACGACTAACTTCGTGGAAGCGCTATCTGAGAGTCACTGAAATAATAGTAATACTAAATAAACAAAGTACTTTTACTCTACAAATCTGTTACTAAGACTATTGACTCGGCATTCTAGTACTTTAGAAAGTAAATAGTTGTTGTCGACTCTAATAATACTCTGACAACATACAGACAGTAGTATTAATAGAGTATTATTGATGTTTCAAAGAAGATTCCAGGAATTACAACTCAAATGTTATACTACCATTTACGCAGCAAATACTATTTGTATCTAACAACCGACGTCCTTTTTCTATTGACCGCAGTGCTATTAAATTTATACAACTTTAGAAGCGTAACAGGACCACAGAGATCGCCAAACCCCATGTGTTTGTAGCCCTAAAATCAATCGGACCCCATAAACATATTGATGGACCCTCTTCTCAGCAATGTACCCCACAATATTCTACTCTTACATCATTGATTGCCTTCAAATAGTTTATGTTCATGTTTTTAAAGTATCATAATTAATTATAAGACTGCCTCGTTGGCCGAATGGTCGCAAGTCCAAGGGGTCTCGGGTTCGATTCCCGAGTAGGGCAAAGTATTACTGGGTTTTTAAAAAAAATCTCAGTAGTAGCACGGAGTCTGGAATTGTGCCCAGTATATGGCAATCGGGTCACCCCTTATTGCATGGAACTCATAACATAAATAGTGAAAAGTGGGTGTTACATTGTACAGTGGCATAATGTGCACCTCTGCCTACATGTCATAATTAATTATTAATAGCCCATGGCGATCCACTGCCAATGCTTTTTAGCTAATGTTTGTCCTAATCTCTACGTTTCGCAAACGGATTGGAGATTGCATATTAAAAGGTTCATCTTATCAAAGAACACTATTGCCTGTTAAATGTGCCAGTCCCTTAATTTCTTACAGTACCTGTTTATACTCGTATTGTACTCGGTTCTGAAAAGTATACTTTAAAGGAAGTATTTAAAGTATACATTTCAATAAAAACATTCACATTTATCCCGTCATTTGCCGCTGACAATCTGCCTAGTAAACAATTGACACACTTTCGCTTCCACACCAAAAATGGTGCATGCGAAAATGCATTTAAACTACGAATCTCGTTCGCTTTCCATATTTGCTGTTGGTACAATCAAAAAGCTTTTACGTCACGACTATGACATACAATCAGAACCGCAATGAATAGGAATGGAGATGTATTACTGTGTTTACTTTTTGTGATGGAAAAAATACAGTCTCTATAGTTTTTACTACTTTCTGTCCACACTCAGTGTTGATTCATCGACAAAGTTAAAAATTATTTTATTTTCACTATAATCCAGTAACCAGCTTTAACATGAATTCACGATTAAGTCAAAAGCTGGGCAATTGGTAGCTATGACTTAGGAGAATAAAGAAAAGTAAGGAGGACGTTCTTCTAAAAAAATATAATGTCTGATTGACAGATAAACAGTTTCAGTAATATTCTTTAAAAAGTAAACGACTTCAATAGTCTTAAACAAATGCTTTGACTTTTTTCAAATACGCCACCTTTTATCAGTGTACCGAAGTACCAACTTCTGCACCACAACTGACTAAAACGCATCTCTGTAACAACATTACAGATCCGACCGTGTGTTGTGTCGTTCACTTTCGGTACAAAACCGAACATTAGTTGCGGTCTTGTTACGTTACACGTGCGGCCACGATTAGATGGACGTGTGACCTGTACCTTATATCCGATAAAGGATCATCTATTCAACAATTTAATAATGAAAGTAAAATATTACCTAAACTTGGAGCTATAACAAAATCTGTGAACACTAATAAACATTCCCTTAGGAAACTTTTAACGTTATTAAAATAAATTGAACGTTTTAAAAGATAAGACAGAAATCACTTAGTAACCAATTCATCACAGCCGTCATCACTATAAACTTTATGGAACGTCAAATTAGCTAAAACAAATAATCTGTTAAGAGAGCTCCTGTCTTCAACATAATTGCCACTATAAAAAAATCCATAAATCCAACTGGAAATAACAAAACATTGAAGCGAATCCAAGAATCTCACGTATCAGGAAACAACTATAATAAAAATTCCAACAATAAAAGTCAAACAATTATTAAAGCACGCATTTCGAAAATTCGAAGCCACAATTTGGATTATTTAAAATAGTATCTGGATTATTTGAAGCACGTTTCTGGATCAGGGCTTTCGCAAGAGACATAATCAGGCCGTAAAGAAGCGTTTAGCGTTTACGTCTGCAGCTATAAAAATGTTGAGAACCACTCGACATTTATTTGACAGCCCTGGAGCAATGTTCAGCTGTTACTTGGACGTTGGCCTAACTCACGAAGTTACGTATTCGATTGCGCTACTGGTCTTGCCTTCATATTCAAAAATAGGTCAAATTATTTGTCTTGAATATAAAGTAAAATTAATAACTAGCATTTATGAAGATAACACTACAATCCATGTCTCTACGCTAGTATTCTAAGCTATTTGAGAGAATCCAATCTGAACCTTATTACACCCTATCAAGTTCTGGACTAGTGAATAGTGCTAAACTGACTCTTATAAAAAATTGTCTATTGAAGCTACTATCTAGACTTGTCAGTTAAAAAACAAAATCCCATTAAATACCTACTCAGCTAAATATTTCTTTTATGCACTGACACTTTCCTAGGAATCGTTCGAAATAGATTCTTATTTTCCACTTCAGCAAACTGTGTGATTTTCTAGGAAACGCGTTATTTTGCAGTGGCAATGTCGAATAAACACTACTTTTTGTACGGGATCTTATTGATTGTGTTACGTAGAAATAAAGCTATTCTTACTATCGTTAATTATGGTGTCAAAGGACTTTGATAATTATTTCGTTAGACTGAAGATATTATTTAGTAAATGATTTTGTGTTGAAGTGAATTGGTCTTGGAGTTAGTAATTTATTACGTTCTTTTGGCTTTACAAGTGATTGTTACGTTCATTAAAATGTAATAGATATATAGATATTGATATAGTGACCGTAAACACCAAGTATCACAGCCAGGATGCTCTTGTGATTCCTAAGAAGTTACGTTAAATTCTTCTATTATTATTTTTTACATTTCACATAAATGCCATATGATAAAGTTCAATCACCTTAGTACCAGATAATACACAACTAATAATAATAATAAGGTGGGCTTTTTTGCCACCGATACTGTATAAAATGATTTTATATCTAAAACTCTGCCAGTTATAGTCAACATCGCACAATAAATTGTTCAACCATTTTACCAACACCGTTCATAAAGTCTAAGCATCATTTTCTTCACACAGAAAACCGAAATAAACTATACTTACAACACTTATAGTAAAACTATCGGCCATCCAATCTGACAATCACAAAAAGGTTGTAAATTCACTTGTAGTCGTAAACACGTCAAACGCAACGCTAGCCGCGCCACTGTCAAATTCTCTAGTGATGGGATTAAACTCAGCCGTAGTGAGTGCGACTGAGTATTTTTATTGAGTGTTTTGGAATTTCTTTGTGTTATGCATTTGATGTTTGTATGCTTTAGTGTGTTGTGCGCTTTCATCTTTAAACTGTTGGTTTTTGCTATTAATTCTTGAATAGGATGGCATTTGAATTTTAAAAATGGGTGATATTTAGTATATATTAAGATTTTTATGAAGAACTATAAAAAGTAACACCTTTCTAAAGCCTTACTTAATAAAATTAAGAGTTTTTTTTTAAAAAATAAAGAATTCATTAACTTCACACTGTAGATGCTTTTACTTTTAGCATATTCAAAATTCCTAACAACGCATATAATTTCCTTCAATCCCTATCATGCGGGTGAACTGCAAGGATTAAAAGATTACAAGTGAACACGTTCATAGCAACAGGTTACAATGCGCTGACTCGAACATAACAATAACAAGCACATCTCTTTGATTGCCTTTATTTCTTCATATAGTCTCTACACGATGATACTTTTATATGATTCTGTTATGTCATAAAACTATGCTGCTGATGTCAGATAGTAAAGTGGTAGTTTCTTTAAGGTCAATGATTAGTGAGTTGAGGCGTTCTAAGTGCATGTTACATGTTTCATGGTATTTTCAGTAACGCTCATTTCATAATATCATTAGCAACGTTGTAATAGGTTACTATGAATGAACTTAAGCAGTACTTATGTACACGTTGAACATAACTTTCTGCTATTTACAAAATACACAACATAAAAAACTAAACCATAGTAATATTAAATAATAAAAGAAATATACTCACATCTTCTTAAGCCAGTCAATTTCACATCACTAGCTTAAAGTACAGCACACTACAGCAGATTATGTACACAACTTTTACGGGCCCTTATAAAAAGCGGTTAAAACCAACTTTAATTGGTTTTTGAGATAAAAGCGTTCTCATTTTATTATTCCTTTTAATTAAACATCATATTATTGACATAAATCTATCTATAAATATTATGATTTTATCATAAATATTTATGTGAGCTCATATAAAGTATTATATAAGTATCTCCAGTGATTGTCCGATAACTTTCTCTTAATGAAGTATTAAGAGGTTTGTGGAATATATGTCGGGTAATGAAGATAATAATGATGTATGAGTTGAACTAATTCTTATCT